TCATTCAATGAAAATAAATGTTTGCTACATTTCCTGTTATTATATATATATATATATATATATATATATACATCCACACACAATAGCTTTTCACTCAAAGACACGTGATCAATAGGAATCAAAGGTTTCTGTTCATAATCTACTCGTGGAAAACCAATTCATAGTGGGATTCAAACTTCACCAGATTCAACAACCCACTCTCTGCAGTGATGCAGACCAAACACATGAAACTATCACACACTTTGCAACGAAGAATTTGCCGTGTCACTCTCTCACTGCCTGACCTACAGGTTTACGGTTGGTTTTTAGGAATTAACTTTTCTCATACTGCAGTTTTATCAGATGAAATGGGAGGGAGCACGTCATCGGGTTTCATTCTATTCCGCAGCAGGAGGCATTCATCCTCACGGTGATTTAGCTCAACTTTTTTTTTTTTTTTTGCTTGTCAGTCACTCAATTGTGAAAGGTGACACTGTAGAGGATCAAGCTCCCACCAAGTTTTCTTCCTGCTTTTTTCCCAAAAGAGCCCACCTGGCGCTTACTGGCCACCGTTTCTAGAGGGGTGTGATCTGCTAGGGTTGCCTCCTGCAGTCTTTCCACAAGGAAAACTCTCCTAGGCCTCAACAAGTGCCTATCCTACCCACCACCTGCCACAGACAGAACTTGATGAAAAGGAAGCGCAAAATTGCTTAGGACAATTGAATTTTCCTTTTGTTCCACACCAGCCTTTCCTTAATTTGTAAACCTACTTTAATCTGCATGGAGAGTCTTGGCATTTTCACATGACCACGTGCAAAGAAACAACACTGTTACACTGAGAGAAGAGAACGGGGGTAATCAAAAGGAGGTTCGGGCACCACTCCTCACTGGGATCACGGTGCAAATGTAAATTGTTAGAAAGAGAGCGCACTTGCTGTGGCCACAGCACGTTTTCTTCTATCGGCTCTCAAAGCGGTTCCCAAACTGTTTGCAGGGTAAGGACACACCGCTGCTTCCCGCTCTTTCGCCTTCCAGAGGACCGGGCAACAGAGAGACGGGATACAGCGAAAGTTATCTGGAAAAGAAAAAAGGAACCGGTTTGGCTCGAGTAGGAGACCGGCTACAAGTCAAAGACAGACGAAGATCTGAAGCGAGGAACGGCAGGTACCGGCACGGTCACCAGAGTCACCAAGGGTCGGGAACAGAGGCGGGCTGGGGGGGCTGCCCAGCGCACACAGGGGCCGGGGGCAAGGAGACGGGTGTCGGGCAACCTGCTGAAGGGAGCTGGCAACTTCCAACTGGCCGCCAGGACGAGCCATGCTGCGGTTGCCATGGGGCTGCTGCCAGGTGCACGGGGGGCAGAAATAGGGAAGGAAGCACGTGGGTGACAGGAAAGATTCCTTGGCCGTTGTCAGAGCCTACCTGTTTTTTGTGACAACAGCTACTGCCCACAGTGCTGCAGTTGTGCTGCTCCTGAGAGCTCCTCTCTGAAAAACCTTCTCAGTGCCGGCCAGGACAGAACCTGCCCAGCTTTTCTCTCAGGGAACCGAGAAATCCCTTGACAGAGAAATACAGATACAGCAAGGCAGTCCTGAAGATTTGTGTGTTAAAAAAATAATACTGGTTATTCAACAGCGTTGCTATTTTTCATGCTATTCTGTTCAGAGAGAAAGGCAGTCCTCTGAGAGGCTTACAGTCTACATTTAGAAGATGAGTCACAGGCAGGGAAAGGGACTCACTGGAAGGGAAAGAATTACAGAAAGGTCAAGTGAGGGGTTTTGGATCTCTTGCTTACAGTCATCACACTTTCCTGGGGAGCAGGCATATCCCCCCCCCCCCTTTCAGGGTTAATCCCGGTCTTCCCACGAGCCTGGCAGGTCTGTTCCCATTCTCCATGAGCTGCTGCAAAGCCCGAAGGAGCCCCCGTCAGCCGCGCCGACGGAACAGACGGGCGTTTTCAACGCCCTCGCACGTCAACACGCACCCCCGTGGGTGTGGAGATACCTGGCCCAGGCCCCGGAGACCCGTGTTCCCACAGCACCTTTTATCGGCTTGGGGCACACAGCCAGTTCCAGATGACTGCGGCTGCGAGCTGGTTCCGGGCAGCGATGCAAGCTGAAGTTAACCCGCGGCTCAGCTACGTTGCTCCAGCACGTGGAAAGTGGCCAAACTGTACGGCAGATCGCATGAGAGACAAAAGAGAAAGTATTCAGGGAAGCTAAAGGAGTAAAGAAACGCACGAGTCGAAAAGCAACAGTAAATTAAAACGAACGAAAAATATGTAGAACTACAGAGAGACATCAAAAAGAGATGAAGAAAGCAAAAATATAGCTGAGAAGTAAAACATAACGAATGGGGGATAGAAGAGCGTCCGATGAGAAGAGACGTTCAATTTTTATGAAGTTAAAAAGTGTTTATGAAGCAGCGAGGAGGCCCAGCACCAGCCCCACGAGTGGGCTGGGGGACTGCTGGTTATCGCCCGAGTCTCACTCCTCTCCCTGCCACTGAGAAGAGTTGTAGTCGTTTATTCCATCCGGTGGCATTCTGGTACCCAGCGCTCGTTTTATCCCTTCACAAATACGGTTTTCACTCCAGCCAGTCGAGTGCAGCTCTCCCTCTCGTACAGCCGCTCTGCTCTCACGCTTCTCTGGGCGTTACTCACGTTTGTTGCAGGGAGGCCCAGTTCAATAAAGGGCCTGGCTGGTGCAGCGCTGAGCACTGCCCTGTGCCTCTGCCTCAATTCAGAGCCCCAGATGAAGACACCCTGCCTCAGCACACACTGAAGGCAAAAAGTAGAATACCTAAGAGCGGGACCTACACCATCCGTCCTGTTAAGAGCTCTACAGGAACCAGCTGGACATGCCAATACAACTCTCACACCGCCTCAAACAGCAGTGGATCCTCGCGCTGGGGTGAGGCAGGATACCCCCTGTGTGGAATTCCCAATCCTGAGCCTTTTCGCAGGCACCTACTCCCTCCCCTTGCCGGGGTGACGGGACCCCCGCCAGCCCGCAAGCACTCACCCAGAACTCAGTTTTCCTTCCTCTGCCTGAAAGGGCTGGCACCCAGCGAAGCCTCTCAACAGCGCGGCGCAGGCGTGGGTGCTGGGCGAGGTGCTCCCGCCCGAACCTGTTGCCCAGCACACAGAGTAACTGGTTTTCCACCAGCTGCAGTGACGGGAGGGAAAGCCAGCAGGACCGGAGAGGCTGGAGTGCTGGAGCAGACATCCTCAACCCTAAAAATTTGTTAAAGCAACGTATTTGAGCAACTCCGGAAGCAGGCATTCCTCCTCACTCCTGGTGTGGGCCCTGGTAAGCTGGGGCTGGGGGATCTGTGGTTTAGATCTGGGCGCTGACAGCAGCAGCAGCAGCAGCAACAGGAGCAGGAGCAGCAGCAGGAGCAGCAGCAGCAGCAGCAGCAGCAGCAGCAGCAGCAGCAGCAGCAGCAGCAGCAGCAGGAGCAGCAGCAGGAGCAGCAGCAGCAGCAGCAGCAGCAGCAGCAGCAGCAGCAGCAGCAGCAGCAGCAGCAGCAGCAGCAGCAGCAGCAGGAGCAGCAGCAGCAGCAGCAGCAGCAGCAGCAGCAGCAGCAGCAGCAGCAGCAGCAGCAGCAGCAGCAGCTAGCTGGCTCTCGCCCTCAGGCCCGCCCATGCTTCCGTGGCACTCCGGCATTCGGGAAGAAGGGGCATCCAACGCACCCAGGCACTGAGCGACCACAGACAAGCCGATCATCCCTGCTCCAGCGAGCTCACGGCAGCAAGTGAGGGTCTCCTTTTGGCTGGGGGAGAGTTAATTTTCTTCCCAGCAGCTGGTACAGAGCTGCGTTTTGGATTTAGTGCGGGAATAATGCTGGTAACACACCCGTGGTTTAGCTGTTGCTGAGCGGTGCTTATCCTAAGTTTTTTCAGTTCCCCGCGCGCTGCCGGCGAGGGGCTGCGCAAGGAGCTGGGAGGGAGTGTGGCCAGGAGAGCTGACCCCAACTAGCCAAAGGGCCATTCCATACCACAGGGCATCATGCCCAGTATATAAACTGGGGGGAGTGGGCAGGAGGGGCCGATCGCTGCTCGGGGTCTGGCTGGGCATCGGGCAGCTGGGGGTGAGCAACTGCACTGGGCATCACTTGTCTCAGGTTTCACTCCTCTCTCTCTTTTTGCTATCTTCATTACAATTATTATTATGTTTTATTTTAGTCATTAAACTGTTCTCATCTCAACCTATGAGTTTTACTTTCTTTTTTTACCCCCCAATTCCCCTCCCCATCCCATCGGGGCTGGGGAGGAGCGAGTGAGCAGCTGCGCAGGGCTCAGCTGGGGCTGAGCCACGACAGTGAGCCAGGCAGCAGCTGGCCTAGACAGGGATGGAACCGGTACCATTAAGCACCATAATAAATAAGCAAGCAAGCACAAATTTTGACTTGTGTGTCCCTCAATCCCGCATTCGCACACTTTTGACCATAGCTTCTATGGGAAGGACAGGAACCTGCAAACACAAGCCAGTTTTGAAACACCAGTTTTAGCTTTGAAACTGAGTCACGCAGGCATTTGAGGTTGCCACACTCTGTAACAGCCATACACTCCTTCCCCTTTCTTAAATAAACCTCAAGTATCAAAACCTGTCCTTCTGTTTCAGGGATTAAAGTCCCAAATTGCTCAACAACAAACCACTCCAGGCAAGTGCAGCAATGGAAGCTGAACGGGATCTAAAGCAAGACAGTAGTTGGCATATTAACTACTTGAGTCTACAGATTGTAAATTTAACCTGTCACGCAGATGCACCGTTCTTTGAGGTCCATTCGGTTCCCCTAAGAATAGGAAACAATGCAAATGGCACTACAGTGCCATTCAAGTAGTTTATACAGGGATTTTTCACGTTTACTTACTATGGGTTAACAGGTGAATCTCTTGTAAAAGCTCAAAATTCCTCTTTTTGTTGCCATTCCCCATTTAGACTTCTCAGAAGTGACTGCAGTGAGGAGCTCCAGTTCCTCTCATGGTGCAAACCAAGGAAAGGCTTAAGCAGGACATGCATATAAAGCTGTTGGTTTTTTTTTTTAATCAGTGCTGGAAATCAAGTACTTCTCCAATAAAATTCTAATAGTTGTACATGCTGCAAAGCCATGTGTTTAGTGGAGACACAATATGAGCTGTGGCAAGAGAAGATTAACCTTCTTCAATGCTACAGCCCACTGAAATATATTGATTTTGAGCTGAAAATATCATCTGTAGAAACAAAATACTGTGTTCTCATTGTTTAATCCTCGATGTCTCTGCTACCTAGTTTCATAACTGTAGATAAGTGATGCAGATACTTGTCCACATAAAAAGAACAAAGTTCAGGAATGCATGTCCCTCACGCCACCGCCAACACTCAGTGTCACCTCGCGTGATGCATTCACTCTCAGACCCAGATGATGGACTACATTTGATAATACACTTTTATCTCCTCATCTATAACCTATTGTTCATCCCCTGCACTGTATTATACACACTGAACCCTCTCTCACTGCGTCCTTTTGTGGAGCATATTGAATGTGAGATTGTGTCGACAGCCCTCCCTCCACCCTGCTCCAATGCATTGCTGTCCCGGGCGGAGCCCACCTAGCACAAGCTGGTTCACATCCACAGGACAGGAATCGCGCGGCATTTTCTCTCTTCCACGCAGCTACTTCACCTCTTCCATATCCCAGTGGGCTAGCTTTGCCATCATATCCTTTTAAAAAAAAAATCTCTCTTCCTCAAGTGTCTCCTTAAAGATCCACTTGCCGGTTTTGCTGCCCCTGCCATAACCCGATACTTCTCAAAGGCTTTATCTTGGCCACTCCCAGTATTTCATGAACATGAATTATGCTCTGAAGAATGCCTGTTAGGTATGATGCACCACTCCGAGTTTGCACCTGAGGAAATGCGAGGGTAGAGAGTTCAGCAAGGACCCTACCAGGTCAGAAGGTGAAAGCAAAAAATCTCAGTCTCCTACCTTTGACACCCAATTATGCTTCTGTATTTTGTTCTTCAAATTCTCCAAAATGCCTGGCTTCCAGACTTCCTAAAGAGTTCTACTACTCAAGTTTTAACCATTAAAGCTGTCATTTTAAAAACACCCCAGGAGACTCAGTCACTCCCAGGATTGCATCCTGCTCCCCATTACAGGAAAAATTTGGATCCCAAGTACCTGTTGTTGCTCGCCCCAACCAGCGGCTTCAGCGATGTGGCACCGCACTCTCCCCTGCCCAGAGAGTACCCGTTCTCCCAACACCCACACTCATCCCATACTGATCTCCCCTAAATACCTCAGCGGCCCCAAGGGGAGTGAAGTGCGAGCTCTTGGGGGATGTATTTGGAGACGTGGCAGGCCAGAGCCCACGGGCACAGGTGGGGGGTGCCATGCCGGCGCAAGCGCACTGCTCACCAGCGCCTTGGCAGGCAGAGAAATCTGGGGGCAGGAACTGAGCTTCTCTCACAGTTAGATGGCACCCGAGCAGGTGATTTGGGGAGGGGGGGAGCTAGGCTTTATCTTTAGATGCTGAGAGGGCAACCAGACGTTCCGGACAGTAATAGGAAAAGACGTTATTACAAGTCAATATTATGTTGAGAAATTTACGGGAGTAGAATATCGCCTTGCGCCAGCAGGTGAAAGTCTGGCTCCTCTGACTCCATGCTTGATGGTGGGAGAACAAAACTTATTTTGCCTGAGTAATTTAAACCAAGGTGTCATCCACCTGCACGCCGCATTAAGAACAGCAGCAATCATTTGGACTCCCTTTCCACTGAATCACCTGAAGAACATCTGACACAAGTACAAACAGTAGTCTTACCCTACCTACTTATTAGTTACTTGGCTGTGTTTGCATTTTGAGAGAAGTTACTGTATGTAAAGACACTGCAGAAAACAAAATAAGTAGATCCAAAAGGTGGCATTTCCTTCTGTCCTAGAATTTTCACAAGCTGGAGGAAAATATGGGGAATGCCTAAATTCCTGTTTCTCCTCTTGCTATTTCTATTCCTATAGATGCTGCTGTGACACCACCCAACAGCTTCTGTACCAACTTATATGACCATTTTAGAGGTACTGAGCTTTCCTCTTCCTATGGAGAGAGCTTATCGTTACCTCCCCTTTGACTGTTGGTTTGTTTGGTTTTTTTTTTGACAGGAATAAGGAAGTAAATGATGTACGACCAGAGACATTGTAATAATGTCCCCACCCAAAAGGCCTTATACTCAGGGGGTGTAAAATCACTACCCCACCGGAGACATCAATGAAAATGTGAAGACTTACAGCAGCAATGACCTGGCTCCAAAGCACTCTTACAAATAGTAATTAAAACCAACCAAATAACAACAATAATTAAAAAAAAAAAAAAAAAAGACACAAAAAACACTGCTGCAGGCTGCCCTGAATCATCCCTTTCCCAGCCTACTGCTACCAAACTGAGCTCTGGCACACTTTGCTTTTGTTCAGTGTGTGAGTTCCGGGTACTTTTATATATTGATCCTCTGCTATTTTTATTCATCAGCCAGCATATGCAGCAAAGCAGGTGTATGTGTGTGTATACGTACGTGTGTGCATGAGTATACACATGTACACATTCCTCCCAGGCTTGTTTATATAAAACCTGCAAAAGAATGGATTTGTTTTACTCTTAAAAACCGCAGCAACAGCTTGTTTTTGTTTAATATTAAAGTATTAGCTGGTTTGCTTTTGTTATCGGCTCATGCGAATGTAATTATCAATCTTATCCCATGAGTGCTTCTCACTTCCCTAACTTTGCTCCTCCAATCAGTACTATTTCCAGAGGCGCGGTGCAGCGCAAGAGAAGGAAAAACCACTAACCCTAGTGGAAGTGCCTCTTTTCGCAGCAGAAAGCCTTGTAGGATGACACGGGCAAATCAGGTCAGAAAACTTCCCTTTGCTGTAGTCCTAACACTGTGTTCCCACATTTCAGAGGGAAAGTCCATGACTTCCTTCCAACTCAAAAAGGTCAAGAAACAAACAAGAGAAAGCATCTGCTGTGAAGAGGAATAATTTTCTTTAAAGAATCTGACTTATGGTGGAAGAGAAAAATGTTTTTCAGGAATCCAGGTTAAATAACAACCAGACACGGTCCACTCCATACTCATAGAGCCATGGTCACATTTCTGTCCCATAAGCTCTGAGATTCCGTCTGTAGCTCACATCCCACCATCTATTACAGAAAAAAAAATATGCAAGAAACCACTTAGAGATAATACGTATTTCTTTTTTTGTCTTCCAAGTCCCTCACACTACCTCCCACCAAATGACCCCTCCATTTTCACATGGCTTGTTCACCTCTAGGGGGATGGAGAAAGTTTAATCCTTACAATCCATTCACTCCTCTGCTTCAGCAACTAGTGAAAGTGTCACTGGTAGCACTTCACACAGACATTGATGATTAGACTGATTCCATCACTTAATTTTCTATTGACCACTGAATGGGAAGTTACCTCCTCAAAACAAATTATTTCTTTTTGGATAACCTGCAACAGTTGTGGACTGAAAAATGAAACGGATGGCTGAGCAATGATTGCTTAACTACCTGCTTTGTGGAGATTTCCCAAATAGCAAAAATGCCAAGTAAAAACCTAACATGTCTGCCTAGAGTACGGCAGCCTTGCTGAAAAGCAATGTTCTTTAATTTTAAGGTTCTTCTGTTAATTCTTCAGTGCTGCACTAAGTGCTGTATGTAAAACCTATACAGCCAAGATACAAGGTCTTAGGTAACACCCCAAGGGAGCTGATTATACGCACATTTCAGAACGCAGTATTGCCTTGCCATAGATAACTAAGTTTTTCATTTAAATGCTTTCCTAAAAATTGTTCCATGAAGACTTCTGCAAAGAGCCCATCCAGGGACAAGTCAGGCAGCACTGTGGGAGTAAACCTTCAACCATGGTGTCCAAACCAGACAGTTTGTCTACTCCCAGTGTTAGAGTCAGTGAGGTAAAGGCCATCGCTTCTCTTTGGCCAGCACAGTTCAGTGTGAATGTGATAAGCAGTTGACAGCAAGTATGACCAAACTACTCTTAGTAAGGGGCCCAAAGAAAAGAACTTGATTAATGGAAAAGGTAATTAAGATGACAAAACCAAGCAGCTCTTTCAAAACGGGCCCATTCTGAATGTACATATCCATCTCAGAACCCATTTTACTGGCACACAACACCACAGAATTAAGGGAGGGGATATCCAGGATGTTCTTTTCTGGATTTACCAAATTTCACCTTAAAAGAAATTTAAACTTTTTTCTCATTTGAAACTGCTCCAAAATATCAATGGTCTGATAGTTAGAACTCCTCCTGTAAACTCCAGAAAACTGTGCTTATTATCCCCTTCATACGCATTTGTTTTGTTCATTTACTCTAATCTTGAATTTACATAATTATTTTCCTCCCCTACAGAAAAACTGTATAACTGTCACTCGTGTGTCTTTCTGTTAACAGTCTCTCCACGCCTCTTAACATCCACGTGGTCCTTTTCTGCATCTGTTTGTATCCATTTATCTGAATGTGGGTGAGAGTTGGGCTCCCAGTAAGGTCTCACTAATGCCCCATACTTTGACATTGGTATTTTCTATACATACAGGAAATCCCCCCCTCTAGGAGTTCCTAGGACACCATCTCTTTATTTTCTGAGCCACATCACACAGCAGTATACTATCATTCTGCTTCTGACTAGTATACCGACTACCAACTCACGACTGAAGTGATGAGCTCTTCTAGAATAAACCGTGATTAGCTTCTATTTGCATCACTACATCTTACCTAATTCTGTTCATCTCAGGTTAGATTCATCTTGTTGGTATATGGATATTCCAATCCTCCTCTTTATCGATGCACTCCACTAGTTACATGTCATAAGATCTTATCACCACAATTCTACTTTTTCACTAGGGTCTCTAAGGAAAAAATTAAATAATTTCAAATACAGTCTTTGAAAAATCCAGTTCACAGTCTCCTTTCCATCAGTACATTCTCTTTCCACCTTTGCCTTCCCAAGTCACCTTACAATGTAAGTAATCCAAATTTTCTCAAGTTTACATCATTTTCTCGCATGGTACAATATCAAATACTTTCCTGACAATTAAACATATGAGATCTACTGTATTTCCTCTGTCTAGAAAATCCTAGCATAAGGTAACAAGTTAGTCTGGCTTTGCTAAAACCACGTTGCATTTCTTCCTACCTTTCATTTTTCTCCATGTCTTTTGTTTTGCCCTTCAAAAACTGTTCTACATTTAAGTGTACTACAGCTATCAGGTTAGATCACCTGTATTACAAATTTTGTCTTTCCATTGAGTACCCTCATCTACTTGGCCCCCTTTACATGTAGCTTCCACCGCTTATCTAGTATTTAAAGTTAGATTGTACATTTTTGAAAAGGGAATATATATTGCATTCATTGTGCTGATGCATTTCCGTTGCCGCTGAAATAAGAAAACAGAATCCAGTAAAATTAAAGTCCTACTGAAGAACTGGAAAAGCAATGTTTCTCTTCAGATGGGAACGGTGGGCCATATGCTAAGAAATTTAAAACACATTACGAAGTATTTTCCTTGAACTTTTGTACTTTATTTTGTTCTGAACTTGGCAATTTTGTATCTCAAGTCAACTTCAACAGTTTAACTCTGCAAGTCCAAACCACCACGAGTTATGAAGCAGGCACATAGACACTTACTCTTTTTCTGTGACTACCCAACAATTTCTTTTATAAGCAAAACAACATTTTTTTCCTTCACTACAACAATACCTTCCCTTATTAAAAAAAAAATAAAAACTTCTTTCTTCTGAGAATTACACCCACCTGCGTATACTCTAAGGACTGTATTTCAGGTAACGATCGTCAGCAAAATCTGATGTCCTTTCTGACACAAATACAAAAATGTTTGTAGAGCTCCTCATGTAACTCCTCCCAGAACTGAACTGTAACGTGCAACAGAAAACAAACCTATTATGGCATGTTTCCCTTTTTTCTTTGATCTCAAGAGTCTTATTTTCTTTGCAGACCTTCATTTCTTAGTTAATAAATTATGTTTTATTCTGCATTTCAAGAGGATTACTGTTACCAAGAAAAATAAACTACCCAAAAAGAACCTCTCCTCTTCCACTCCTGTGAGAAGTTTAAGCACACTCAGCCCCAAGTTCAGCTGACTGCTGATGCATGGCACCACTAGCTTTCAAGATCTGCCCATAAAATAAGGAGAGGAAAAAACCAACCAAATAAAATTTGCCAAATTCACTTTAGACTGATTTATTTCACATACTTTCAAACATAACCAACAAGGTACCTCCAGCCAATTAACAAATTCCTATAGAACATCAGAAGGTGTAATGAAAAGCTGATTTTGCACTTTGGGAGCACTATGAGCATAAATTACATTAACAGGCAACGTTTTTCCTTTTTCTTCCCTCCCGGCTTTCTCCTCGGAGAAAACCCCTTGCTACCAGGCAGACCACCGCGTCCTCTTTGCTCCCTGGGTTTATCCCTCCGCAACTTCAGCCCGCTCGAGCACCTTCACGCATCTGAAATTCTTCCCACCGACGTTCAAAAAGGAGGAGGCCGAAGACCAACGGAAGCGGCGGCCGCCCTCCCGCCGGGGCGGCTGTCAAGGGCTGATCTGTACAGCTGGGACCGGCTCCCGGCCCGGCCCGGCCGGGCCCTCCCGCCGCCGTGGGGAGAGCGGCAAGCCCGGGGCTGAGCGGCCCGGGCGCCTCGGGGAGCGGGCGGGCTGCCCCGGGGTTGCGGCCCGGTCATGGCGGGCGGGCGCGGCGGCGGCCGTTTACGACAGCTCCCGGCATGCCGCCGCCGCCGCCGCGCCTACAACTCCCAGCCTGCCCGGGCCCGCCGCCGTTAACCCTCTGCGGCTCCGCACCCCCCGCACCCCCTTCCTCCTCCTCCTCCTCCTCCTCCTCCTCCTCCTCCTCCTCCTCCTCCTCCTCCTCCTCCTCCTCCTCCTCCTCCTCCTCCTCCTCCTCCTCGCACCGGGCCCTCCGGGGCCGCGGCCTGTCCCGGCTGCTCCGCGGGGGAAGGAAGAGCCGCCCCCGGCGCGGCCCGGCCCGGCCCGGCCCGGCCCGGCGGTGCTCGCTCCGAGCGGCCCGGCGCGGCCCGGCCCCCGGCCCGCGGATGCTCTGGCGGGTTTCTGTCCTCCCGCACTCGGGTTTCTGGTCCCCAGCTCCTGCTGCTTGTTACTGGCAGCGCTGGGATTACTTGCCCGCTCCCTGCCAGTTATTAAAAAGCAGGTGGAATAACCTTTCTTCTGACTGGGTTTGGTTTGTTTTTTTTTTCTTTCGAAAGACAAATTGTAATAAGTGAATTAACTCAAAAATAGCCTTGCAACCCCCAGAGAACTTTGGGACAAAGTTACCGGGAAATGCTGGGTTATCCTGCAGCGAAAGTAATGTGAAAACTCAGTCACGCTCTCATGTTTTGCCCTCCTTCCCCTCGACTCTTCATACAGGTGCTCGGCACACGTATGATTAACGCACACAGCACTTCTCCAGCTCCTCTCCTAAAATAAGGAGCAAGTGATGGGCATACCATCAACCCGCTGCAAACTGGAACACAGCCCGGAGAGACAGAACCCATTTCTAAAGTGAGCGAGGGACGGGGGGCAGAGAGCTGCACAAGTTGATGCAAGAGCAGCACCTCGGAGTAAAACCCACTGGGTCTCAGCCGACCCCCCTCCGCAGCTCGGGGTCCGCACCCACGCAGAGCTCACCCCCCCTACACACCTATTTTATTGTCGAATTTTTTTTATTTTTTTTTTTTTTTTTTTTTTTTTTAGGAAAGCCCCGTGCAGCAAATGCAACTCAAATGGCTCTAATTTGTAGTGCTACAAACTGTAACATGCTCAGACGTGTAACTGCCTGACAGACTACACAGAAATCTGGCTTATGCTCCAACCTCTGAAACAAATGCAAATATCCAGAAACATTCTGCTATTTCTCCAAAATTAAAATACTAAGGGAAACAAACCTACTGCCAGATTGTTCAGACAAATACTTCTTTTTAAAAAATAAATCACTACAAATTTATTATTCATTTCAGACCATAAACAACACAGAGGAAGGAAACACATATACGTTTTCCTTTTTTTTTTTAAAAAAAAAAAAAAACAACCAACCAAACAACAAAACCTTATTGATGAGAAAAGCACATATAGAGCTCTCTTTTTTTTAAGTTTATTTTTTAATACCTTGTCCCTTAAATCAGCCTACAAGCCAAGAGCTTTATCCAGAGCAAACACAATTGGAAAGCCTTTTTATGTTGCCCTGTTTTTCAGACACTTACAGGAGGTTTCTGAAGACAATTCACAGCAATGCTATTCCAAACAGCATAAACACAGTTATTTAGAATTTATTCCTTACCGTGGCAATTTTTACTTTGGTATATTTTTCAAAATTTCCCGGGAAAACACAATCAATTGCCATCTAGCTTAGCGCACCTACACTGTTACCTCTTTCTCTACATTTTCTCTTTACAAATCAACCACAAACATTTTCAAGTATTTTACATATATATAAAAAAGTCTTAAAAAGTCCAATACCACAAGAAAAATGCTCAAACCAAACTGGAGGTGTAAATGACCTCCTCCCATGTTCCAGACGTACCTACAAAATCCCTGCTCACTGGTACAGGATTATACATTCCATTACGAGTTCGGCCTTTTTATATTTTGTACTATTTTAACACCCCAAATTTATAGATTTTTAAAATTGGCATGTTAAAAGGGCTTTATTTAAGGATTTCAATGAAAATAGTGTTATGTTTTGTCATATTACCATAATCCTCCTTTTTAAATCACTTAGAATTTCAGTATAACCTAATTAAGTAATTTTAAGTAAGTCTTAACCCAAATACATAGATCTAATAAAAATGTATTTTGCAAACAGGGAAAATGGACTTCTAAAATGGATTCCTCAGGTATGAACAAAGATGCTGAAACATTTTCTCCCCACAAACTTTGAGATCTGAGCTATTTCACAGCGCTTACATTTAAAAGCCAAAATACCTAGAAGAAAAAAAAATTCACCAAATATCAAGCACAATGTTTCACTCCAATTTTATTTGTTTATTCCTTTTATATTTAAAAGAAATCTTTCAATTTTCCATGCCAAAAAGAAGGGAGACTAGGGGAAGAAAAATACTGCAAAATCCTAGCTACCTATCTTCACGTATTGCTTATTTCAAAGCTCTTCTAACAGCTGTTTATATTGGTTTTAGATATTGTATATTATTTTGCAAGTGGAAATATTATTATTTGGATTTTTGCCTTTTAAAAGGCTACAGAACAACATGACAGATTTTAGAGACTTCTAACCATTTTTAATCTCTCTCTTTTTAAAATACTACAAACATCCCATTTGGTAAATGGAATTTACATTTCTCTCTTGTCTAAATTATCAGAGTTGAATCATCAATTCCAAACAGAAAGAACAAGTGATGTACCGTAATACAGCAGCAAGTCCAACACTTTAACCCAGCTCCTCTCTCTATTGGTGTATAATAAGCTTACACAAAGTATAAAATATCTCAGAAATATAGCCTCTTTCCCAATCAGAAAATTTCACTTATTGACTGATTTGACCTCAAGGAATTGCATTTTCTCAAAAAGCATCCTAGCTATAGCTTTATGCCATTTACTGACTCTTGCTTAATTAACCAGCATGCTTTAAAATCAGGTATCATTCCTTCAGCTTAATCAAAACAGACTATTTTTAATTGCTACCACATCAAATATATTTGTCAATACAATAAAGCCACGTACAATTAGAAAGAACTAATTTTTTTAGCCCTGCCTTTGACCAACCATAAATTACAGCATCCACTTCCAATTTATTTGCTATTTCACTATGAGATGAACTGAAACACACACCACAGCTCGCAAACACATCCATCTTTCTATAACATCCTATCATTTGCATCTTTTAATGGGAAAATCCAGTATACCACTGTCAGCACTGCTGTTCTCCTGCAACCGACCGGACTTCAGAAGGACCTGGCATTAACTTCCCTCCCTCACAACACTTTGCCTCCTCACCTCTCTCAAAACAAACCAAAAATATTTGTGTTTGTCTAAAACGTCAATAAACTCCAAAACCGAAAAGGCCAAAAGGTCAGGTATTATTTAATTCCAACAGAAAAGTTATTTTCTCTCTATGTTGAAAGCTGTCAGTGACAGCACGTTACCTGGGGAGTGATGCTCGCCTCCCTCAGACGGCCGTCCTTCCGTCCAGAACGGGGGCTGTGCCGCGCTCCCTATAACCTAAGAGAGAACATTCAAATTATTACACACCTAGACCCATTTCTGCCCATTCAGACCACCTGGCCCTCACAAGGCTTTGCATCTCTTGGTCTGAAAAGCATCTTAAAAACTTCTATTACATTCTAATTAGACCCCTCAAAATTGTTTTTGATAAATCAGGTACATGTGTCAAAAATTAGCTCCATAAATGGTCAATCGAAGTACCAGATTCTTCAGACCTGGTTTTCAGTTCTGAAGCCTGTATACTGAGACATGCTCCATCTCATTAGCAACATTTAATCTGTAAATGGAACGATCTTATATTAAAAAAAAAAAAAAAATTACATATATTGAAATCTGTTTGTTTTTTTTTTTTTTTTTTAAGCCATTTACACAAGGGACAGAGTCCTGAGATATTCTTTCCCATGACAACTTTTCCCTCCCCTGTTTTAAAAGCTGAATACCTTCTCACATAAATATGGTGTTTGCTTTACCCGTTTTTCTGTGATTTGTGTTACTGTGTACTTATTTGCGACGCTGCAGAATTTTACACAGGCCTGTAGTTCTGAGACCTCTGTCTCCTCCCTTCACCTGCAAGGCAGATACCAGCTAAAATCAGTCTATACGCCGTTTTTATGACCTTTTTCCCTCTGTACTTTTTCAAACAAATGTGAGAGGAAAAAAAGTTAAGATAATGAGTACAAACTCACAGTGTACTACATTTCCAGAAAACCCCTTGTTTCAGTTTGTCATTTAATAAGCATTATTAATGTAAGTCATGATCAGAAAGCCTCAGGACTGTAGGGTGTAGTATTTATGACTAAACTGCCTTTTTTTTTTTTTTTTTTTTTTCCCTTAAAAAAAAAAAAAAAGATCTGCCTGTGTTGAAATCTTTTCTTCCATCTTTTACCCTTCTCCTTCCACATATTTCACCCTCCTCATACTGCTTAGATCCTAGCGGACTCTTGCCACACATGTATTTTTCCACCCAATTTCCCAGACATTGACAAATGTGAACCAAGGAAGAATTTTGCACAATGTTAACTTATCTAAACCATTTCCCTCCTCCGTTCTCTCTTTTTCTCCATGGCACCCTATGCTTGTTTTTACCCTCTGCTGTTGCTTTGTTCGGACTTTGCCCACTTTTCTGTACATTTGTCTCCTGCTGATCCTATTAGACCGGGCAGGAAGAACTGAATGTCTGTCTCTTCCATTTGCTACACTGTCTCTCATTTTTTTAGTGTTTTACAGATTAAACACATTCTATTGTCATTTTCATATATTTTTAAAGACACTTTTTTTTTTTTCCTTCTCTAGGAACTCGCTGATTACAGTCACCCATACTTCTGCAAAGCTAGGTGAGCCCTGTCCTGCTCTAGTACATGCTCCTGTCAGCATACTAAGTGTAAATGACTTTCAAGCCTGTGATGCAAAAGATGAAAAAGGAAAAGGGGGGTAACATGTAGAGAAGCCCCTTAATATCATAAAGAAAAAAATTAGACATTTTTAACTGATTCTGACTTTTTAAAGAGATACCATCAAGAGAAAACACCTATCTTAGGGGAAATCTTTAGCTAGATCACTAGCAACACTTTTCCACACTAATAAAA